GGGGGGGGGCCATGTGCCCCTGATTCTGCACATGGGGCAGGGCTGCACTGGGCTCTTTCCAGCAGGAGGCTGGGCCAGGCTCCACTTGAGGTGGGCAACGGCAACACTGGGAGAGAGGTTACAGGGGGGCTGCAGCCACTCCAGAATTCACTGTAGCCACCCCCCCCCAATCCTCTTCTCCAAGCGCTGCCACTGCCTGCCCTAAGCGCAGCCCAGCCCAATACCCCCGCTGGGAACAGCCCAGCACAGACCCAGCTCCAGCTCGCAGCAGCAGCAGCCCACCCCACCCCACCCCCAGGGACACACAGCCCTCATGCACTCCCAGGTTGCACGTGGCAGTGAGAGCCATCCCGCTCCAGACAGGCAGCCCCATTCCCTCCCCCACACACTTTCCCTCACAACAGACTTACCAGCTGGACCCAGCTGCTCTCCACGCTGTTGGGCTGCATCCTAGCTGCTTGCATGTAGCACTGCAGCTGCACACACACTTGCAGCTTTTAATTGGCCACATTATTGATCACATCAGTTCTGCATACCTTATACAACCTTTTTAAGTACCCCTAGGGGTATGCATACCCCCGGCTGACAACCGCTGACCTATCCTGACGGCTCATGAAGATGCTACCAGAACACAAAGGTATCTTCAGCTACGTTAAGAACAGTATCATTTTACAGAATCCATTTTGAAAATTGTTCCCATCCAATATGCCTGTACTGAAGATAAAATCCAAATATTAGTTGACGGCAGCTTCTAACTGAAGATATATGGTGTTCAGGTGACTAGCTTTATTAAGAGCCACAAGTGGAATGGGTCCAATTTTCTTCTCTCTGTGGTTTAGTCAAATTTTAAGGAAAACAATTTACTTGATTCTTAGTATTTTAGTTCTTGTTGTATTGAATTGAGCAGTTCCACAGCTTCTTTTTGTACCTAAAATAGAAGGCAAAATATAAACATGAAGAACAACAAAACAGCACTACTATTTATTCATAAGCTTTCCTATAGCACCCATCCCCGCGTGGTTCAAGCACCTTACAACCCCCTGTGCTTAAAAATGCTATCTTAATTACCAAAAAAAAGAAACTGGGGCATGGTAGTTTAGTAGTTACCTATGGGACACTCATGACAGAACCATGAATAGAACCCTAGACTTCACATTTCCCAACTCAGTCCCTTCACTATAATGCTTAATTTGCTGACTGTACCATTTCTGTTACATATTAAACATATAGTAAAATAAGCATGCATTCATAGGAGCTACCATAAAAAACTGCACTATGTACTTTGCTCTCTTATGTTTTGATCATAATCAAGCCAGAGGTTTCAGGGCCAAACAGCAGTTATTGTATTGAGCCCTGTACTCAAGACATTCAGCTCATCAGTAAACCTGGCAGTAAGGTGCTGTACTTGCTATAGTTGCTTTCAGAATATGCATGTTTATATGACAACTTTCTAAACATTGTGAAGTAATCAGCATTCACTCCTTTAGCATGAGAGATCTAACTGGACAGGTGGCTCCAAAGCATACCGACATCAACAAGAATAAAGGCATAGTGACTGTGTGTGGTTAACTCAGCTTTGTTCAACCACTTGATTCTACATCAAAGCCTGATTTATTCCATTTTCAATCTGTCCCCAAATCAGACTCTGTTAAGAGTTCCCCTCACAAATCTCAGACTTGTCAGTGTCTTGTTGGTTCCAACAACAATCTGGATTCTTTTTAACTGCAACAGTACCATTAATTAAGAATTAATATGCATCAATGCCAGAAAATACCATGTAAGGAACACAAATTAAACTAATGAAAAAGCAATGTTTCTGAGACATGCAGTTACTAAAGCAACAGGATTTGCTGGAATCCAAACATAGCTACAAACTTCACTTTAGTCTGAAATTGTTTTTACATATGTTCAACCACTGAAATATCACAGGACTTTTCACACAGTTCTTATTTTTCCTACCTGCGTATCCTCCTCTGTGTGTGCTGGATATTCCTTGGCTTTTGTTAACCACAAAAGGGCCATCTTTTTGTTGTTTAACTTCAAGTACGTCTTCCCTAGATACAGCAAATTTTTACTGTAGAAGTTTGGTTCAGCTTTACGAGGAAACAGAAGAAAAAAAAATACATTTTTTTTTTTACTTCATTGTTTATAGTGTTTTTAGACAAGGAGAGCTTACCCTTTTTCTGGTTCTATACATTGTTCATCGTTTTAAATGAAAACTATAGTGGTCTGTACTGGATGCCACACCCACTATGCACTATAAGCTACTGAAACAGATATTAAAAAAAACCTTAAAGCTCTTTTATGTTTAGCTCAAAAGAGAAGCCAACCATTCACCCTAGACTAATATGAGGGTTTTTCTTGCTATTTCCTGGTTCTCTGCAATGTGAGAATTCAGTGTAAATTCAATATAAAGATGGAGGCAATTCATAGGCAGCAGCCATGGCTCCCCTCCCCTTGTTTCTACTGCCACTATTCTATACAAGGTGACAGCTTAGACTCCTTAAGAACCGTTGGAGTTGGCTAGAAGTTGTCGTCTCTTCTATCCTTAGCAGGAGGCAGGTTAGATGACATCTTATAGACTTATTATCCCCAGCTCCATATGTGAGCACAGCTCAGGGATAACACTGGTGCAGCTCATAAATGAAGCAGTAAAGCAGCCAGAGGCCAGTACATATGCATGCATATTTCTTGCTTACGTACTGGCCTACTGGCATCTGGCTGCTTTACCACTCCATCCAGGAAGAGCACTGACCATCTGCAGATGCTTCCTCAGCCTGACAAAAGGTGTTTGTGCCAGACAGCTGGCTAAGAAGAGTTTTCCAACTATTTGAGTTGGTCTAATAAAAGATACCGGATTTACCCAAAGAACCTTGTCTCCCTCCTGTTCTGGTACTCTCACACTTCTAATGCAGTGTGTATATGCAATGTGTTTTAAGTTTGCGTACTTCTGTCAATCCTTGCCATATGTGAGCACTCTCATAAAAATCACTAGCAACAGCAGACAGTCATTCACAGCCCAGGATCACGTCTTTCTCCACGTAAAAACAGATGCTTTAGTTTGCTTTGGCTAGTTGGCTGCTTTGTATCAATTTTTTTTTGGGGGGGGGGGGGGGGGGGGGGGGGGGGGGTGTTG